TGTGTGTGTGTGTGTGTGTGTGTGTGTGAGACTGTGAATTAGCAGCCGTAATCTTCCTCAATTACACACTAATTGGACCTGTGGAGGCTAACAGCACGCGACAGCATAGTGTGTGTGTGTGTGTGTGTGTGTGTGTGTGTGTGTGTTCAGGTGGTTTCACGTGGTTTCACGCTCTTGCCTCATCCCTCTCTGTCCTCTGTGAGGTCGATCCAAAAGTCTCTCAGCCAATCAGAAAGTTCTTTCTGTGAAAAACCTCCTTGTTGTTTTGGTGACACGCCAAACTACCCAGAGTAAAAAGAAGATCAATAAATAAATGGTCATGTGACGTGTGTGTTCAGGAGTTTTCAGGGGGTGATCAAGACAATTTGGCTTCACTTCTGGGAGCTGTCATCACGTCCATATTTACTTCAAGTCTATGATCTAAACTGTTTCTCTCTTGTCTCTCTCTAACTTCTACTTTTGTCTCTTTGTCGTAGCGGCCGCCCTCTGTCCCGACCGGAGAAGCATTTCGTTGGTTCTTCTAGCCGTCCCCCCCACCTGCAAAGTCGCAGCTCAAAGCTGAACAGGAAGTCAACATCGCATATGGAAAACAAATCAGGCTTGAAAGACGTCACTGAAAGACGACGAACGTATCTGGAAATGAACCTGACGCTTTAAGGAAGGACTTTCACTTTCATACTATTTGAAAATAAAAACAAATCCCACGTCAACCGGAACAGGGATGCAGCGAGGAGGACGGAGGAGGAGGGGACAGTTTGGTCACTTTCAGGAGGAACTGGCCAATCAACATGACCGTGTGCAGACGTTAGAACGTTAACTAGCTAGAAATTCTACCAGTCGGTGTTTTTGCATATTAGCATGTTACTATCACAGAAGACTACAGTAATTATTTCACACATAACCTGCTTCCCACTGCATTATTCACTTGGTTTTCAGTTGGTTGCAATCTGCACCCTCCCCACTAGATGTCATTACACTGTGGTTCTGCTGTTCACATGGTCAGAGAGAAAACTGACCAATCAGAGATCAGAAATGTTCTGCGAGGAGCGTACCATGTAAAATGATAATGATCAGTCTGATCCTTTATTTCTGACGTGGGATAAATACTTATTTAATTTATCTTTAGCAAAAAGCAGTGGTGTCATTTCTCTTTTTATCTAAACTAAATCAGAATAAATAAGATTTACTTTATCCCTGATTCAATTTAAATATGTGTCTGAAAGGATTCTGTAACGGCAGCTACTCAATGTTATCGACTGTTTACGACCATCGACCATCATCATGAAATTGCAATCATGATTAGGAAATACATTTCTTGTAGATGAATACGACTCGACTGAACCAAACAGACGTCGATTGCTAGAAACCTGAATCTAACGGAAACTAGCTAAAAAATAAGCTTCCATGTCTTTGCCATTTCTGAAATCACCATCATCATGTTCCAACAGACACGGTAAACACAACCCCACCCGAACAACCTTCATAATGTCTGATCAAACTGTCTTCGTCTTCCTCCTCCTCCTCCTAGTGAACAGGAAATCCAGCCGTAGCCAAACCAGGATGTTTCAGGCCTCCCGTTTGACCAAAACTGGACGACAGGAAAAACCTCAGAGCGAGTACGAACTGACCTCAGCAGGAAGTGATCCAAGACTGTTATTAAGGACTACAAGTTCACTGCAGTAGGACTACAGTTACCACATCACTGTTATCTGTCTCTTTTGTCTACCTCCTCCTCGAGAACTTTAAAGGCACCTTGATTGAGTTTTACCAGGTTGTGTTCATGCGGGTACGACATGATCTGTTTCTAAACTATTGATGGTCCAGAGCTGATCTGCTTCATCATCACTCCATATTTATTTTTAATTTTCGGGTTTATTTCATTGCCTGAAGTGAAACGTCTGAATCTCTTTTATCCATGTGGATTTCACTGGAAAGTTCTCAGGGCGCAGTAACACCTTCCATTTGGTTTTATATAAACTAAAACAGACTGAAACTCACTTTGTCGTATTTTTGTATCATGGAAGGTTTTATCATTTGTCTCTTCAGGAAAAACAGAGACTTATTGATGATTGATTATTGGCTCTAAATTGACACGTGTGTTAAAACGTAACCCGAAGCTCGAAGAAAGTTCGGAACCAGTTTCTCTGCTCTTCTGTTAGTGGTGACCAACAGGAGAGTGCACCTGCATCATGGGAACCCGCAGGGAACTGTTGGAACTTCTGAGGTGAACCTGGGGACCACAGTGAACTGAACTGAAACAGAACATTCCACATCATTTCCAACAAGTTCTGCGTTTGCGTTTAAACACATTTATCACATTTAGTTAAAATTCTTGTTAGGAATATAAATGCAACCTGTCAGCAGATTTGACCACTCCGCATATTGATGGAGAAAACCTTATTCCAAAATGTAATGTACTTTAGAAACTTTACATTACCCCCCCCTAGTGGCAGGTTGTTTTGTCTATCCCATAAAGATGGACGACGTTTTTGAGAAAAAAAATATTTGATGTCTGGTTTTTTTTGTTTTGTTTAATCCATGTCCCATCTGCTAACATAGAGGAGGCTGGTTTACAACCTGAACTGCAGCCAGCCACCAGGTGGCGATAGAGACTCTCTGGCTTCATTTTCACAATCATGTCATCCATCTTTATTTACAGACTGTTCTATCCACGCGAATGTTCCGCGTAAACTGAAAACGCTGCTGATTATGTCATCGATTCAGACGTTAATGACCAACTGAACGACTCATGATGATGTCATCATGGCGTCAGACTCTGCTCTCACCGACATGTTTGAAATAATGTTTTTTTTTCTAGTTTCATGAGGAAATTGTTCGCCTCTGTGTTGGAACTAAAATCAAACGCCCCCTTTTTCTCAGGGTGGGGTGAGGCTATGTGGGAGGGAGGGGGACGTTGTTTTTGTGTGTGTCCTCTTCCTCATGTGTTCTGTCTCCGTGACGACCTCATGTGCTGAATTATAATAAAGCATTTCAAAGATTAGCAGCGAGTCTGTGATAGACACACAGGGACGAATACTGATGTCAGGTGATTGCATCATACAATAGTGTGTGTGTGTGTGTTTGTGTGTGTGTGTGTGTGTGAGAGAGAGAGAGAGAGAGCGGGTGTGAAAATGAACAATATGTATTTGCATGAATTTTTTTTTCACAAGATGGAAGCTGTGTATTTGTGTGTGTGTGTGTGTGTGTGTCATCACAGTAATGGTGTTGCTATCAGACAGAGAGGGAGAGAAAGACAGAGGAGCTGGTTGTCCCTGACGACGGTGCGCCGTGTTGCCTAGCAACAGCGCTAACAATGGCCCGCCACCAGTGTTCTAGAATGTGGGCGTGGCCTGAGAGAGAGAGAGAGAGAGTGGGGGACACAAACAGCTGTGACGTAAACAACTGATGTTTGTCAACAAACAAACAAAAGGAAAAGCAACGTTTGTGACAAAGATTTATTTTAGAGATTCAGATTTTTCTTAATTTCATCTAAAACGTGATTGTGATCATATTTTAAACAAACAGTTGTAAATGATATAAATAATTAATTTAACAAGAAAAAGAAAAATATTGAACTCTTGTGATATTAATTTGTTCAAATATTAAATGTTCTTCTCTAAGTGATGACAATCTCATGATCACGACATGCAGGACCTTTCTCAGGAGCTAGAATCTTTTTTTCTGGTCCCGCCTACTTCCACACCTGACCAATAATTGCCCACAGTGGCTTGATCGCCCCCTACAGTCAATGGACCCACGTCACTCAACTCTACGTCCAACAATCACGTGAATTATCCGACTTTTTAATGTCGACCCAGCTTCTGTTTTCAGAAATGTAACAATCCTCTCATCCAACGTTTCTTAAACCTTCACAATTTGTTGCTGAGTGAGTGAATCTCCTGTGTCGTCTGTTCTGTTGTGAACTTATTCGTTAAACATGACCCCAAATCTTCACCTGTGCTTTGTGTCCATTACGTCAGGCACCACTTTCAGACCAGAAACAATAAAAGTATCAAATACGTCATCATTTAATCCTCCCTACATTTTGTCAATTGGTGAATATCATGGTTACACCAGGCGTAACCATAGCAACTGTGATGTTTCTAAACTGAGATGTGTCAGTGGCTGCGGGACGACTGTAAAAGTTTATTTCTGATCATGTCACAGGTGACTATTTGTTTTTTCTGCTTCCGGCCTTCTCACTTTCACTTTTTGTCAGAGCGGAGTCAGGAGTTAGCGCCGATCCACCACAGTGTTTAACAGCCGGTAACAGGAGCCTGATTAGTTTTAATTAGTGTGGGAGAAACTCTGTGTCGCCCCCTAGAGACTCATCATCCCTCAGACAGAGAGAGAGAGAAAGAGAGAGAGAGAGGGGATGTGGAGGAGCACAGAGCAGGCGAAAGTTCGAGTCTGGCTCCATCTGGTGGTGAGAAAGACAAAGTGCACCCAAATTTGCTCAGACGTGAAAGTTAAAGCTCCAGTTACACAGTGAAGCGTTTAATTAAAAAAGCACATTACAAGGAATTAAAACATTTCAAAGTTATTTTACAGAGGCCGCTGCAGATGAGTTGTATGCCCTCGTGTCGTCCATCTTTTTTTAGGCACCATTTATTAAACATTCTTAAAAACGGTCTTCTCAGTTTCATGTGACGACTTTAATTGGATTTCCCATCTTCGCTCATTTACGTGATAACCAGTCCAATCAACCAATCACACTGCAGCTGTGACGCTCCAAACTTCTTTTATTCAATCACGTGTTTGCAGATTGTGTTGCTGCACTTTCACCTTGAACTGATACATTTCTTCACGTTTACTTTCTCCACGTTTTATTTGACTACAGCTGCTGTTTAATACGTGGTCTGAGCTTGATTGACTGACATGAGGCGGAGTTAACAACACTGCTATCATATTTTCATGTGACTCTTCCATCAACTGGGGGCGGGACCAGGCATTAATTAATCAACCGGTAAAAATTATTTATTACCTTTAAATAAATGTATTTCCTGATAATCACAGTTTAGTTGTTTCATCAATGAAGCGAAGCAGTAGTTTTTTTTTTAAAAGTGGATAATTCTGCATCAAGATTAGAACCCGACTGATTTATTGATTAGCCGATATCTTGAAAAAAAACCTAAAAATTAGATGAAAGTAAAGAACATTTAGAAAAGGTCACGTAGAAAACATGCATTTATTATTATATTTAATGCATTTTTGTCCTTTAATATTTGGTTGAATTTGTCTTTTTTAGTGTTAAGCTGTAAAATATCGAACCTAAATTACATTTCTTTGTCACAAGGGTTTGACAACGATAATTAAGAATCAACGTTTTTTGAAAATACAAAGTATCAGTATCAACCCTAAAACAGTCGGGCTATAATGAAGACTAGTACAAAATAAAATGACAAATCCCAGCCCCAGGAAAAAACTATCACACTAAAAATTAATAATTTCATCGTTCATTCTTTTCAACAAATGTGACCACAGGAACGAGGGGAAGAACATTTTAAAAACAAAACAAAATCAAAAGTTCATTTCTGATATTTTCTCCATCAAGCCGTAAAAAACACTGAATCAGTTTGAATTTGTGCGTCGTCCTACGTGGCCGAGTGAGTGTGTGTGGTCCAGACGCCGCTGGGCAAGCATTCGTCAAAGGGCGACTGAGAGTCTGAGCGGGCGTCAGCGGAGGCGTTTGAGTTCCACTGGTTGTGCGGGGAGGACGTGACGCGATCGCCCCCGTGAGAGTCGACAGGATCAAAGTGGTTGTGATTTTTTGAATCAGTTGAGTGTTTTGAGAGCGACTCGACGGAAGGTTCAGAACTACACTTTCTATGTGACCTGGGCGTGGCTGCGTGGTTGAAGTGTCCGTCAGCGGTGATAAAGCGAGGAGGCTCCGCGTCAGTGGGCGGGGACAGACTCATACAGTGGAAATCAACAGGCGGTGCTGGGTCCTCATGATTGACGACTGACAACATCTTAGTGACCGTCAGTCGCTCTGCAGCTGCACAGGAAGAGCGGGGGTCAATGCATTTAGGACTTTTACGGACGTCAACCAGAAACGACCTGCCGGGAGACGAGTGATTCTGAGTCCTGGAATCAATGTTTGAAAGCAAAAGACGAGACGCGTCGTTGGAATTAACTCCTGAGAAATTGCCACTTCCTGCTGGTAAGCCTCCAGCAACACCACTGCTGGAAACATGGCAGTCTGCGGGCGCCACCCGACAGGAAGTGGGGCTTAAAGTCTGATCACCTCCGGAGGTAGAGTGAGTGTGAGGCAGCTTCTCTTTGGACCAGCCTCTGACGGCTGAAAGGAAATCAACAGAATTAACGGGATGAACGGGTGAAGATCTAAGACCAGAGGGAGGAGTCTCCTTTGTGACATCACAGCTGGAACGTTCCTCTGACCAATGAAAAGAGTTCATGACGTCCCGATGTGATAAACCATCAGTATGTGTGGAACCATTTTCCGAAGCAGACGATGAATCAACAGGACTCTTATGTTTGACGCTAGTGGTTAAAGCGGCTGAACGTGAGTCAGGCGCCATGATTCCTCTCAACGCCAGAGTGCTTTTCAAATGTTTCTTCAGCACTGAATTTGGGGTGATGGCCTCAGCGGCCAAGTGGGAGTCAGCAGTGGGATTTGAATGGCGGTCAGCAGAGATGTGAGGCGAGAGGCGAGAGCCGGGGGAGAGGTGTGGACTTCCTGCATCTTTGTGTTTTAATGGTGGTGGCGTGTTTCTGTTGTGGGCCCGCACAGGACTGGCCTGTTTGAGGAGCGGTGGGACGTCCACGCCGTCCTCTCCAACCCTGAAATCCATTTGCTGAAGAGGAGGCAGCGCGGGGGTGGAGTTACGACATGGCGGCAGGTCTGTGACATCAGGAAGTCTCGGCTCAGCCAACCAGCTGCTAAGCTTCGAACGAGCGTCACATGGATCCTGAAAACGCTTTTTCCTGGAGTCGGGTGAACGACTGGGTTCAAAGGTCAGAGAGAGGTCACATTTAGGAGCAGCGATTCCCTTCAGGTCGTCGAGGATGGTTTCTAGGAGAAAACTGTCGGAGGTCGAGACCTCAGAGTTTCTTTTGCGAAGATCCATGGGGATGGAGGCTGGATCTTTGGGGTCATTGGCGGCTGTTGTCCTGCATGCCAACAGTGACCCGCTCTCCTCTACATTTTCCACGTCCACATCGTGGTCGCTGTTGTTATTGACGGCGACGGGACCCGCAGCCTCCGACCGGCCAGGCGGCTCCGCCTCTGACCCATCTGACCCTCTGTCCAGGATGTCTACAGGGAGTTCGCCGATCTCTGCATCCAAGGCCCCACCCACACCGGCAGAATGCACCAGTGGGAGCGGAGGGAGGTCGGAGAAGTCGACGGTCTGCTGGCTGCTGAGCGGACTGCTGCTGCTGCTGCCGCCGGGTTTGTTGTTGACGTCATATGCTTGGCTACTGTCGCTGTCAAGGGTGATGATGACGGGAGAGCTGAGAGGGAGAGGGAGAGAGTTATAATGGAGCAGAATTCACAGGTCAGCCCCCTGCTGGATAATTTGACAACTGCAGATCTGATAAAATGTATGAATATTATTAATAATAATAACAATGAAAAATAATCAGTAATAATAAAATAACAGTTTAATTGTATTATTATTTTGTTAGGCTGTAATGACTGTGTGTTAACATCACACTGGGGAAAATGAAACGTGTGTTGTGTGTGTGTTTTTTTCCCCACCTGCTGTGTCGTGTCTTCCGGTGGCGTTTCCTGCGGCGTTTCCGGGCGGGAGGCTGCGCGGCGTCGGAGGTGATTGTGCCCTCGTAGATGATCTCCACGCTGGGACTGCGGTCTTCTCGACACCTCCTGCTGATGCTGGACAGATGCACACAGACGGACAGAAAACAAAAGGTTTCAACTCAGAGTTTTGTTTTTAGTTTCAACTCAAAAATCTCTCTCTCAGAAACAGGAAGTGTCATCTCTCACCTCTCACCACCGCCACTCTCCCTCTGAACCCCCCTCCTTTGAGTCTCTCTCTTCCTCCCCCCGTCTCTCCCCCTCTTCCTCCTCCTCTCCCGCCGCTTCTCACCAGGGTGCCTGCTGTCAGGCCTCCAGGTAGGATCCTTGTCGTTGCTGTCCAGGTGGCGGCTCTTGTACTTTCTCTTCCCGCCGGGTTTGTCTCTGTGGTTAGCGTCACCGGGGGAGAGCAAGGGCGGTGTCTGCGGCAGCGGTGACGACAGCAGCGGGGAGAAGCAGAAGGGCGAGGAGGACCGTGATGGGGAGGAGGCAGAGGAGGAGAGAGAGGAGCAGCGGTACTCCCAACTAGAGTCAGGCGGCGAACTGGACTCGATGCTGGAGTGAAATGGTGACGGGGAGTGTGAGCGGCGGCACATCATGGCAGGATAGATGGAGCGGTTTGGGTTGCACAGAGTTCCGCTCCTGTCCTGCCCTCTCCTCCTCCTCTTCCTCTTCTCCCTGGCTGTCTCACCACTGGATTGCTTCCAGTCTCTCCGGCTATCCTGCTGCTGCTCGCTCGGGCTGAGCGTGCACACCGACTCCTGGCTCCTCCCCGAGCTGGCCGACCATGAACGTGCACGTGAGCATCGCCCACCCGCTTCGGCATCTTTCTCCTTCTGCTTGTCGTTTTGCTCCTCTTGGAAGGCAGCAGATGTGGAGGGGGGGACTGTGGGTACATAAGAAAGAGGAGGAGGGGTGGTGGAGAGGGGAGGAAGCTTCTCTGTCATCTTCTCCTTCTCCTCCTCGGTGTCGGATGACAGCTGCACCAGCTCAGGAGTTCGCTCGGCGATCGGCTTCTTGTATCCGACTATCAGACACTCCTCCTCCCCCTCCAGCTTCTCTGCCTCCTCATTGGTAGCCTCTTGTGGGGCGGGGCTGAACGATAGCGAGGCTAGTGAACACGATGGTTCGGCAGTGGAGTAGGAGGGGCCTGGAGTCTCGTCATCCCAACCCGTCAGGCTGAGGCAGCTTCCTGTTTGGATGACATCATCATGAGCGCCCGCTGCCCTCGCTTGCAGCCTGTCCTCTAAACTTCCTCCAGCCTGACTCTCGTTTTCCTCGCCCTCTGATATGGCGATGACGGAGCTGCTGTCGGAGGGGCTGCTCATCCCATCCAGCTCTAGGGCGGCGGCCGGTGGCTCATACACCGCCTGCAGGTCATAGTTTTCCAGACTTAGTGGCGAGCGGGCAAAGCTGACCAACTCATGCAGGAAGTGGTCGGTGCGGGCCAACAGGAACGGCCGCAGCTCGTCCTCTATGGTGGGAGAGTCCTCCAGCCCATGGCGAGCAAGCTGCGCCATGATGATGCGTTGGACGATGTCGACCAGCGTGCCGTGAGCACCGTAAAGCACCGTGAGTTCCCGCCGCAACCAGGGTCGGAGTTTGTTCAAGTGGACGGGGTTACGACGGAAGCTCTCTGCTGTGATGTCACACTGCTGCTCCTGGTTACCGCTGACCCCGGCAACGCCACGGACCCGTATGCCACAGCGGTAGAGGGCACGGCGGAACGCTACAGTCTCTCTCTCCCTCAGACGCCGCACAGTGCCACCATCTCGCTGCAACCGCTGCCTTGTTGCCAGACGGGTCATCAGTCGCCGTGACGCCCGGTCATTGTGCGTCCTCGCCCCTCCAAGGCCAGTCAGCCCCTCAAATATCACTCCTCGCTCTGCCAGGTCTGCTCCTCCCCTCATCCTCTGCTGCTCCAGGTCTTCACCCTCTCCACTGTCTTCCGCCACCATGGGAGAGACAGCAGGATGGTGAGTAGGAGGAGGGAGAGGAAGAGGAGGAGAATCAAGGTACCACTCCCACACCCCAGTCCTCCCGGTCCCACCTCCTCCTCTCCCTCCCCTTTCTCTCCTCCGCCTCCTCGTGGTCGTTACTAGACGGTCTGCTGTCCTGTGTCTCCTTAACATCAACCTCATTTGGTGGTTGCTCCTTGCAGCTGATGCCATCGCCGCCACCATTGCCACAGTGGCGGCAACACTGCTGTTGGCAGGCGCCGGCCGCAGCGTGTACTCCTTGAAGTCATCCTCGGCGCGGACCGAATGCAGGATGGAGGTGAATGGCTGCTTGCAGAGCGGACACTCAGCCTTGTTGTGGGACCACTCCTGGATGCAGGGGAAGCAGAAGCGGTGCAGGCATCGGTCCAGGTACGCCAGGTTGTTGAAGCGGTCCAGACAGATGGGGCACTTGGAGTCAGGCGAAGCCTCCTCTGCAGCTACCAAAGCCCTCGCCGAGGCGGAGGAGGTGGGAGGAGAGGAGGTGGTGGTGGTGGTGGTGGCGGCAGCTGCGGTGGAAGCATTGCTGGAGTTTTTCCTGCGGCTGCTGCGACCGCTGCTCTCTCGTCTCCTCACCTCCTCCTCCACAGGCTGACCGCTTCCCACCGCACCTGGACCTGAACCTGCAGCATCACGGCGACGCACACGCAGTTTCATCCGCGTAGGCGCCATCACCTGAGGACAGAACAAATCATGAGCTGGATTCAGGGTCATGTGACTGAGTATTTAAACAGGAAGTTGTTCTTCAGCCGACCCTTGGTTCTTTAATAAAACTCCACCAGGAGATGAGAACGACACTGACGTCATTCACTTGACGGGTTGGATCGTCGCACAAAACGCTAACAGGAAGCTAAGCTACATGAACCCTCAGTTCAAATTCAAGCCTCAGAACACAACAATGAATAATGTTAGCATCTACTAGCCTAGCATGCTAGCAGCCCTGACAGAGCCGCTGTGACGTTAACAGGCAGGTTCCGGTTCATCACATCGGTTCGTCGGTCTCCTCTCGGTCCGTTATCACCGGAACCCGCTCGTTAAGCTGCGGCGATAACAACAAACACAACCCTGTTAGCATGCTAACGCTGTTAGCTCTGTGTACCTGAGCAGAAGTCGACTCCCCCGGTGGCTCCGGGAGCTTCTCATCCGGTTTTTTTCTCCTCCTCCCGGCAGAGTTCCGCACCGTGAGCGGCATCCGCCGTAAGAGACGTTATCCGCCTCCCGGGCTCCGCGGCTCGGATCCGTTTACGCCGAGGCTCCGGTCTCAAACACGCACATTTGTTTCAGACGTTTTCGTCCGAACCGAAGCTCCTCTGCACCGAGAGATGCCGCGGAGCATCATGGGAAATGACACTCGGGGTTTTTGCCCCCC